GTGTAGCCCCGTCTCCGCCGCGCCTCCTGCTATCCGGGCCGCGGCAAGGGAGCAGGCCCAGCAGTACCGCCGCGCCTCCTGGGTGGCGCCCAGGAGGGACAGCGCGACCGCGGGCTGAGTGCGGGGCGAGCCGCCGGATGGGGTGCGGGGGCGGCGCGCCCCGTCACAGTGGCTAAAACAGCATGAACTGGATTCTATGCTGGCTCCTCTCTCAATAACAGAACAGCTAACCCAGTTTCAGAATCTTTACTTCAAAGGATTCAGAAGTTTCCTTCTCAGTTAGTAAAAGGTCTCGGGGGGTAGCAATGTTAGTCAGATGAGTTGGAGTGGAAATTATAGAATCCAGAATATAAATAACAGCAAAAGAAGTTGTGTCAGTTGTAGGACCAGCATTAATGAAGTTAATTGAGTCAGACTGGATGTGTCCCATTCATAGCTTTTGACGTGTAAATGTGAATATCAAAGGTGGGGAAAATTGCCTTTGTAGTGTGTTAACCGGTTAATATAATTATTCAAGCCCAAGTTGAGAGTGTCGAACTTTTAAATGAATTCCAGTTCAACTGTCTCCCTCTGTAACTGGGGGTGTGTCTAGACTACACCTCTCTGTCCACAGAGAGATGCAAATCAAGCACATCAAAATGGCTAATGAAGCAGGGATTTAAATATCCTGTGCCTCATTAGCATAAACATGGCCACCGCTTTTTTCCGAAACAGAGTTTTTTAGAAAGAAAAAAACCCGGCAGTCTAGACATAGCCTGGGTGATAAAATTCCTTTTTAGAAGAATGGCTACATTTAAATCCATTATTGAATGCTCGGGGAGGTTAAAATGTTCCCCTACAGGTTCCTGATTTATGTCCATTTATCCTTCGTCACAGAGACTGTCCGGTTTGGACAATACATGTGGCAGAGGGGCATTGCTGGCACTTGATGACATATATCACATTAGTGGATATGTAGTTGTCTGAGCCTCTGATGTGATGGCTGATGTGGTTAGGTCATGTGCTGGTGTTGTTTGTGTAGATATGTGGGACAGAGTTGGCCCCTGGATTTGTCCTGGGTGAGTGTATCTGTGGCGTGGTGCATGGCTGCTGGTATTTGCTTCACATTAGGGGGATGTCTGTAGGCGAGGACTGGCCTATCTCCCATGGCCTGTGATGTGTCCTGAATAGAAGCTAGAGGCATGTAGGTAAGAATAGCAGCCAGTAAGTTTCTGGCATAGGGTAGTGTTTATGTGACCATCATTTATTTGTACTGTAGTGTCAAGGAAGTGTGGACTGGCCCAGGCTGATAGTGGGGTAAAAGAATTCCATAGGGATTCCAACAATTTCCTTAAGCAAATACATCAGCAACCTTGGTATTTCTTTAAGCAAATACTTGCCAACAGCCACACATCTGGATTAGCCAGGATGTGTAGGAATGGTGTCCCTAGCCTCTGTCTGGAAATGAGTGACAGTAGAGAGATCACGTGATGAGTACCTGTTGTGTTCCCTCCCTCTGGGGCATCTGGTATTGGCCACTGTCGGCAGACAGGATACTGGGCTGGATGGACTGTTGGTCTGACCCAGTCTGGTCGTTCTTATGTTCTTATGGATTGATGTAATTTCCACTCCAACGCATCTGATGAAGAGGGGTTTATCACAAAAGCCAATGATCAGATATATCTATTAGTTTCTAAGGTGCCATGGGACTGCTCGTTCATCTCAGCCGCAGAGTTGAGAGAGGCAGTCCCAGGCAGTCCCTGGGATGAGAGAACCCAGCATGAGCGTCAGTAGGGTAGCCAGGTGTCTGGTATTCACCTCTGGTAAAAAAAATTCAGAAAATATCGGATACCTAAGATGTCCGGTATTTTCTGATTTTTTTCCCTGGCCAGGAGGCGAAAATGCTGGGCACCTGGCAACCCTACAAACACTCAGCACCCGGCCTCCTCCCCCCGGCCCTCAACACTCCCAGACCCCTGACTCCAGACCCCATGTTTACCTGGTTCCGCAAGGCTGCTGGCACAAAATGGCTGCCGGCAAAAAGACCAAGGGGAAGCAATGACTCCCCTGGGTCTTAGTGCTCAACCATTCCCCTTTTCCTATCCCTGTATTCACTCTTAAAAGGGACATGCTGTTTTATTTTAATTTTTTTTTATTTTTGCTTAATAAGTCTTGGAGTCCTTTTTTTTTTTTTTTTTTTGGCTCAACAACTTTGGTCCCCTCCCTCTTTTTTTCCTTCAACAGAATTTTTTCCCAGTGGTTTTTTTTTTTTTTGGTGGGGGCTGGTGTTCAGTATTTTTGTTTCAACCATCTGGCAACCCAAAGCATCAGACACCAGGGTGAGCCTGCACCAAAGGCAGTAGGTGAAGAGCAGTTGAGAAAAATTAGCTGAGGAATCTGGGAACCAGAATCATGGAGAACTTCACTCTGTCCTTGCCTGTGGACACCGCTCCTGCAGCTTCCATTGATCAATAATGGAGAACTACGGCCAGTGGAAGCTGTGGGGTCGGGGCCTGTAGATGAGGGGCAGCACATGGAACCCTAGAGTTACTCCAGTGTTACTCTTGCTGAGTCACTTTTCACAGCAGAACCACTCAAAGTCCAAGCAAAACAAATGGCAGCTTTGAGCCTTTGCACACGGCTGCTCGTGAATAGCTTCCCTTCCAGGAGGAGAAGGCCTGCCAAACATTTACCTTCTTCTGGTAGCAGGATTGGAGGAGAAGGCCCTACACACAAGGACTACTGACTCTTGTAGATCCCTTGCATGTACTATCAGTAGCTCAAGCACTGAGTTCTTCCTCAGGGCATTGGAAAAATTAAAACCACGCCTGGTTCTGTCAACTGAGCCAAAAGAAGAGCATTAAGGCAGAGTGACTCAGAACATTCAAAGGGAGGAAACACCCAAGCTAGGAGTAATTTGTGTCTCTTCTTTCTGCCTGAATCGTTTCCAGTGAAGGGATAAAGACGTCAACACTGTTTAATATCCCCCTAGAGCGAAGAATGCTCACTGTTTATTTCATTTAATTGTCATGTTCTTCTCTGATTCACCGTCCATGTCCTGCCAATGGCTCCTCTCAAATTTGTTTTTATTACATTTTTTAAAAGGAGTTTGGATAATGGCTAAAAACTTATGTAATGCTGCTGAGTGAATCTGAGACAAAAACAATCAGAAACCAGAACAAGAGCATCCTCATACAATTCCTTGGGCAGGGTGACCATATTTCCCTCTGCTGAATATAAGACACCTGGTAAAATTACTCATATTCAAGCAAGTTCAATGGCAATCAATCCTACAAACCTTATCAACAGGACTGAGGCCCTGTTAGATTCTTCTTATTGGCCTTCTTATTTTTAAGGCATTAGGGTTCAGACCGGGAAGAGTGACACACACACACACACACACCCCTCTCTTGTGTGGGAGGGTGACTGACATTAAGCTAGGGGGAGAGGTAGATACGCTGGAGGGCAGGGACAGGGTCCAGAGTGACCTAGACGGATTAGAGGATTGGGACAAAAGAAATCTGATGATGTTCAACAAGGACAAGTGTAGAGTCCTGCACTTGGGATGGAAGAACCCCAAGTATTGTTACAGGCTGGGGACTGACTGGCTAAGTAGCAGTTCTGCAGAAAAGGACCTGGGGGTTACAGTGGATGAGAAGCTGGATATGAG